CCCAAGATGGAACTAGAACTCACCGTTTCCTGGTGATTGACCCAAAGTCACCCAGCTGGCTTTCATGCCTAAAGCGGGACTGGAACTCACTCTCTCCTGGTTTCTAGACCAGCACCTAAATCATTACATCCAACTGGCTCTCTTACATAAGTGAAATACGTCAGTTATAGCTGTACCGGCTAGGAATTCTGGGAGATGTAGTCCCGGTGCTACCAGCGGGTGCCCGGTTAGGAAAGGTTAGCCCTTTACAATAGATGTCTGTTTTCAAATTGCCTTTCCAGGTAACCGAAGGGTGAGGACCACTTAAAGCAAGAAGCAGCCAGAATTTCCCCCACACCATGGAGAATATCCATGAACTACAACATCCGCTCCTGGGAAACCCCGCTAGCAAAACTCTCCTCCCAGGAGGGATGCTCAGCTGGGCAAGTCCTCAGCACCCCTCTGGATTGCTGTCCCACCACGTGCCATCCAATCTCTCCTGGCTCTCCCCCGGCACCGGTCTTCTTCCCAACCAGCTCCTGAATTCCCGCAGCCTGTCCAGGACCCCCGTCCCCTCCTCCAACCTTCCCGAATCGAAGCTCTATCCGGAGCTGTGGAGATGCAGCAACCCCCAAAACTGGAGGAAGAAAGATTATATCGAAACTGCCTTTGGAGAGGGCAAAGTGGCGGGAGAGCTGCCACGCAAGATCGCCCTCGAGACGGATATTCACACGGTCTGCTACGAGGTGGGGGACATGGAGCTGCCCGAGGTGGAGGTAGGAGCTGGGCTGGGTTGGAGGGTCCTTTAGGGGAGAGCAAGGAGGGAGATGGGCCTATGACAATTCGGCATGGCCAACTCCCCATGGCCACCTCTCCATGGTCAACTCTCCATGGTCAACTCTCCATGGTCAACTCCCCATGGCCAACACCCCATGGCCAACTTGCCATGGCCAGATCCCCTTGGTCAACTCCCCATGGCCAACTCCTTATGGCCAACTCCCCATGGCCAACTCCCCTTGGCCAACTCCCCATGGCCAACACCCCATGGCCAAGTCTCCATGGCCAACTCCCCATGGCCAACACCCCATAGCCAACTCCCCATGGCCAACACCCCTTGGCCAACTCCCCCTGGCCAACTCTTTATGGTCAACTCCCCATGACCAATGCCCCATGGCCAACTCCTCATGGCCATAGTCAATTTTGCCATTTCAGCCAACTTCATCCACTTTTGCAACCCTTCTCCTACAGCGGGAATCGAAGTGTCCTACCATTTTTGCTCATACAGTCATCTGACAGGTTTTCAGTGAGATTTTCGAAGCAACCTTCTTCCTGTGTGAAAACGACTGATGTCTCAGTGGGATGTCTCTTATTTTTTTTTATTTTTAAATTAATGCCGAATCGCTCTGATGAAAAGCCATTTATTCAGCCAGCTCCTGGCTTTGTTATCTCGGCGATATTTCATGAGGCTGACCTACTTCGGTTCAGCGGAGTAGCACTCGTGAAAAGTCTTTTGGCTTGGCTTTTCGAATTTATCTGGCTTTCAGTTCGGAGGCGGGGGTGGCGGCTTAAGTGGATTTTGTGCCCTTTTCAAATTCTTTGTGCAACAGGGAAACTGAGGCATCGAACCCCCTCCCTCTCCAAGAGGGAGAGGCATGAAGGGGAGGAGAGGGGAAACAGGGCTTTCGGTCACCGGAGTATTGCAGTAATGTTCCTTTTCTCTTTTTCCCCAGACATTTTTTAAAATTATTTTATAGTCTGTTCTAGTCTGTTCTATTTTCTATTCTATTTTCTAATCTATTCCTCTGTTATTATTTCTATTATTATTCTAGTCTGTTCTATTTTCTATTCTATTTTCTGTTCTATTCCATTCTATTTTATTCTGAATTCTATTCTATTCTGTTCTGTTCTATTATTCTAACCTTCAGGAAATTTCTCCTTAGTTCCTGGTTGCTTCTCTCCTTGACTCGTTTCCATCCGCTGCTTCCTGTCTAACCTTTGGGGGTTTTGGATAATAGCTTTACCCCTTCCTCTTCTTTGGGGCAGCCCCCTTTTCCTGGGACCTGCCCCAGAATATGCTCCCAAATTGCCTTTAGAAATGAAACTGTTTCTTTAAAACGAGTGAAGCACCCAACCGCGTCCTTAACCGACCCTTTGCTGCGCATCCCAAAGGATGACTCGGGGGGTGGGCTGATGACATCATCCACCCAAGTTGCTATGATGTCATTGCATGCACTAGGCGTGCAGCATTTGCACGATGTCATCGTTGCCTGGCTGGGTCCTCACGGAAATCCCGTCTTCTCCCCACCGCTCTCCAGAACGATTCCTCGAGCGACAGTGACACCGAGAGCGAAAACAGCTTCTCAATGTTGCAGCCTCAGGATTATCTGGGCCTGGCGGTTTTCTCCATGCTGTGCTGCTTCTGGCCACTAGGCATCGCTGCCTTCTACCTGTCGCAAAAGGTGAGTGTTAAGGACCGGGGGGAAGGAAGAGAGAGTTGAGGATAGAGGAGCTTCGAGAGGTGGCCAGGACAGCCAGGCTGGGACCAAATGGAGGAAGGCTGTGTTTGTGGCCCGCCAGCGGCCAGCAGAGCTGCCTGCAGAGTCAGACAGTGAGGAGGTTGGGCCAGTCCTGGAGGCTGAGGAAGGCTCAGGCGAGGGCTCTGCGTCGGAGACAGAGATGGGGCCAGGACCATCTGACAGTTAGCAGCTGCCTTCGGAGTGGGACATCAGTGAGACAGAAGAACAGTTGGAGCCTGTTCCCAGTACGCGCATGCACAGAACTGCCAGAAGAAGGGAATAGTTAAGAAACAACAGTCGACTTGGGAGTAAAGCCACAGGTGGATGGTGAATGGCCCCTCCCACAGGGATTAAGAGAGGAGCAAAAGGGGAGGGGGCTTTTGTAGGAAACAATTTGCTCATTCGTTGCAGCAGTGTGAAGATCTGTCTGTGCATCCCAGAGACTCCTATGCTGAGTCCTTCCTTGTCAGCACTGAGTTTGGAAATATTTACTTGGTAGCCCTCCCAGATAGTTAAGATCCATGCTCCTCATTACACCCTTGAAAGACTGTTTGCCAGGCCTTTGGCCGAAGGCGAATGCAAGAAATTCACCTTCGTTTAATAAAAGGGGTTTTGCTGGGACAAAGAGTCTGCTTAGTGCTTTTGTGGGAAGCCAGAGGTCAGAACAGATTGGTCCTTCTAATCTAAGCTAAACCTGGAGGCCATGTATCTTCACAAAGGTCCAGCAGAAATATTTTATTCATTTATTTGGGTCCCCTCGTTCTTTCTTTTTCCACAAATAACTCAAGGTGTCAAAAATATCCAGCACACCTTCCTCCTCCTCTTTTCCCCAGAACAACACCCCTGTGAGGCGAGATTGGGCTGAGAGAGAGAGAGAGAGGATTGGCTCAAGATTACCCAGCTAGCTTTCATGGCTCAAAGCAGGACTAGAACTCAGAATCTCCTGGTTTCTAGCCTAGTGCCTTCACCGCTAGACCAAACGGCCAAGGGGAAGATGTAAAACGGGGGTTTGAATTGTGAGGTCCTTATAGTGGTCTCTGAGCTTGGTGGTTTTTCTTGCAGATGTTTCATTACCAAACTAAGTAACATCATCAGTGCTAGACGGGAGTGGGGTTTGTCGGGGAGGAGGAGGAGAATTGTGAGGTCTTTGATGCCCTCCGAGTTTGGTAGTTTTCTTGCAGACATTTTATTACCAAACTAGGTATCAACATCAGTCCTAGAAGGAAGTGGGAGGAGGAGCAGGAGGCAGACAGTGAAGTCCTTAAGTGTTTTTTGAGCTTGGTTTTCTTGCAGACGTTTCATGACCCAACTAGGTCACCTCATCGGTGCTAGAAGGCAGTGAGGGTTATAAACAGAGAGTAACCCTCACTCCCTTCTAGCACTGATGAGGTGACCTAGTTGGGTCATGAAACGTCTGCAAGGAAACCACCCAGCTCTGGGAGCACCAAGGACCTCACAGTCCTCCTCCTCCTCCTCCTCCCTCCACACACCCCACTCCTTCTCCCTTCTAGCACTGATGATGTGACTTAGTAAGGTCATAAAACATCTGCAAGGAAAACCACCCAGCTCTGGGAGCACCAAGGACCTCCTTCAGTTCAACCCTGAGCTACAAATATTCTGACCAACAAAGACAAATCCAGATCATCTCTTCTATTGGAGAACTCAACTCCTGGACACTAACTTGACCTTCTTTCTCTCCCCTTCCTTCTCCTTGCAGACCAACAAAGCTTCAGCCATGGGCGATTATCCCAGAGCGTGGACCGCCTCCCGTCAAACATTTGCCCTGGCGGTCTTGTCCATCATCCTTGGCATTTGCACCTACATCGGCGCCGTGGTGGCCCTCATCGCCTATCTCTCCAACAAGGCCCCCACCTAGACTTTCTCCTCCTACACCCCCCCCAACGAGCCACTCGTCGCCCTGTTCCTCGCCTCCCCATGGAGTACGCAAGGGAGCGGGGTGACCGAAGGCAGACCTTACCACATGAAGACCTATTCCCATACCCTGGTCTTGAGAAGAGAGAAGCCAACCCAACTGGGTTGCATTCAGACGGACAATTTCATGGACCCCAGAGGAAAACGGTGGCAGGTTCACTTGCAAGAAGCCGAAAAATGGGCCAAGGAAGCTTCGCAGAAACTTGGAAAAAAGTAGCTGAGGTTTAACCTTCTGGGACTTCTCTAGTTGAGAGGCATCAACCCAGTCCTTGGAGCTTTGAGAAGAGACTGTCCAGCCAAGGAGAACTCAAGGGACTTTGAGGAAGCAGGTTGAGCACTAATCTGGAGGGAAGGCATCAGCTTAGAGATGTTTCCTTTCCTTGCCTGGACCCCTTTCGAAGCCCCCCCATTATCTCTGCCCCTCGGTCATGCCTCCTTTTCTACAGAGTTACTCAATCCACCATGCCCGCGATGGTCTGGTCATCAGGCTCAATAAAGGGTCAAGGCCCTAGACTCCTCCTCCTCCCCAGTTCAGTGTCCTTGTTGTGCTGAGCAACACCCACAAAGCCAAATGTCTGGATTCTCAGTCTTCCAGGTCGTGGTTGTCCCGAAGGTGCTTTGTCAAGAGGCAAAGCTGGACTTCCTTGGGTTTTCCCTTGAAGACTTGTTTCGCTCCTCAGCCAATCGTTTTCATGCCTATTGCCTCAGATCTGGCTTCATGTCAGGATGTGCCTCCATTCAAAACCCAAGAAAGAAAACATTCTGACCTAGGCTTCCTTAGAAGGCATAAAACACAATCTTAATCCCGGCAAAATTATTATTATTACTATTTATTATTATTATTATTTATTATAATTATTATCTATTATTTCCACGGCTGTGAATTACGGTCATTCACAGCCTGCAAGGCCTCCCAAACCGTCTTCCAGGGAAATGTTTATAAACACCCACCTTATCACACTTGGAACACGGCCAGAGAACTAATTGCCAAGCCCCATTTTATGACCATCCTTGCCAAAGCCGTTAAGCGAATTACTGCAATTGTTGATGTTAGTAAGCCGGTTGTTAAGTGAATCTGCCCCCCCCTTGACTCTGCTTGTCGGAAGTTCGCCAAAGGGGCCCCTGGGATGCTGCGAAACAGTCGTGTCTGATGACCGTTTTTCACAGTTACGGCCATTTCATGTGACCCAAATTCAGTCGTTTGGTAAAGGTCTCGTATTTCGGACAGTCGCAACGTCCCTGCGTCACGCGATCCCTTGACCAGCCAAGTCAAGGGGAAAGCCAGATTGGCTTAACGACCGTGTCACTTGCTGAACAACCGCCGAGATTCGCTTCCCAACTTTGGCCAGAGAGGCCGTAAAACGCGAGGAAAACTCACTTGGCAAATGCAACAGTCTCGCTTAGCAACAGTAATTTTGGGCTCGATTCTGGTTGTAAATCGAGGACCCCCTGTAAGTAGGTCAGGGGGAAGCTCAATCACACTGGACCAGCTGGACGTGGTGAAGCTATCTAGGGCAGAGCCAAAATCTCTCCCCCTTTTTCTCTCCCTCCTTCCCTCCCTCTGTTCCTTCTTTGTTCTTTCGCTTTTCTCCAAAGCGGCCATGAATTATTAAGAATGCTTTATGACATATTTATGCAGGGTCCCCGAGCAGTTTTCTCTAGGACGAGTGATTGTTTCCATCACGGCTCGGATGAAAAGACAAGGGTATAACAGACAGAAAGAGGTCACCTTTTTTTGGGGGGGGGGGTGTTCTTCGGAGGGGTAAGCTGCCTTTAATTCCAGGGGTTGAAGTCTGAGCGTCTTAAAGCGGAGGTCTCGAACTGTGGCCACTTTAAGACTGGCGGACTTCAACTCCCAGAATTCTGGGAGTTGCGGTTATAGTCCACCGATATTAAAACATCTGGTTGGGGAATTCTGGGAATTGGTCCAGCCATCGTAAAATATGCTGGCCAGGGAATTCTGGGAGTTGCAGTTGCAGTCCACCGATCTTAAAACATGCTAGTTGGGGAATTCTGGGAGTTGAAGTCCATGCATGCTGGCTGGGGAATTCTGGGAGCTGAAGTCCATGCAACTTAACACATGCTGGCCAGGGAATTCTGGGAGTTGCAGTTGCAGTCC